ATTTGTTAAAACATTTCGTATGACATCAAATGGTGCTATAATTAAAGTGGAATTCCATTATTCTTTCTTCAGAAAAAAAAAAAAAACCCTGCATTTTAGAAAATAATGAAACATATTCACACACTGGGGAAAATACAGAAATTGCAAATAGCATAGATGTCCAAATTAAAGTCTATGGGCAGCAGACTTTTCTACTGAAATTCTCCTTTAATGAGAAAATCTTTTATGTTATGTTACCTTTTTAAAATCTTTATCGACTCCCTAGTCATGTCAGAACTGGATTTTGGAAATGATCTTTCACAGTTGTGAACTCTTCATGTGACTTATGAGACACAAAACATTAAAAATTGATTCCTTTCCAATTTGATCAATATGCATATCAAAATATTTTCTCCCATCTTTTCCTCTCTGTGGATTATCTACTTCTGCCTGCAGGCCAGAATCTCTAGATACCTTGCAATAGCACAGACCTGCCACCAGGGGTCCCCCTCCTCCATCATATCGGGATCAGGTGTCACTAGAGCCGATAACAGACTCCCACAGTATTTCCCCAAGAGGCAGAAACACAGCCTGATTCTTGTCACAGCTAAAAAATGAAATGCAGAATTTATACAGAATTCTCAAAATATGTTTTATCTCCATTGTCAGTAACCCCCAGCAGACCAACTTTTACTTTGTTTCTTTCAATAATCTCTGTGAAAAATATAGCAGCACATCAAGTCGAGTCTGTTTCATCTATCAATCAAATGGCAATTTTCATAATGTGTGTTACCATAGCACCTGCAGCCTGCGATACTCTGCTACTTCTGTTTTCTTATGTTGGTTCACTATTACAGGTAAGCAATCAAGGATTTCTCCAGGGGATTCTAGAACAAGGTGAGGGAGTGTGCAGAGGGGAAACCTGAATAATTACCACGATGGTGGGTTGACATCTAGAATCCACGAACGACTCCACCCCCTCACTTTAAAGATGAAGAGACTGAGTTTCTAAAATAGCAGGGCATTATGAGAACTGATCTTGAGAGCAGAACCTGCCTTGAAAAATTTTAGCTCAATAATGCCTAACATTAAATGACAGGTTTCACCCTGAAAGCGCCTCAGAATTTCTCCCTAATTAATTTTTCAAACACTCCTTCAGTAATGTGTCAGTTTTATTCTTTAACAGAAAAACCGAGACAGATCTCAGGCAAAGTGTCTTTCCTTTATGTCCTAAAATAGAAGCAGAATTAAATATACAAGGAGGTGCTCTTCTTGTCATCTAGGTTTGGGGTCAGAACATTTGGTCATGACCTTCTGTGACATCCTCAAAGACACTGTATAACAATAGACATACATTCTCAGATATTTCAGGTTTTTTCATAAGTTATGGGCTTACCAAGGATCATAGACATACGAAGTAGCAGATGATCAAAACATAAAAATTTATAACATTCAAATTTAAGAGATCAGTAAGTAATGTAAGCATGATAAAGAAATGATGCTCCGAATATCGAATCTAATAACTGTTACCAAAATTACAAATAGCTCTTGATTATTTAAAGAAATTTTGTGTGTTCTGAACCTTCTAAATGGTTCACTGAACCCAAGGGCTGAGATGCACTTTTTTTCGGATGATAGGACTCTTAAGTTCAGATGATAGGAATCTTAAGCAACAGTATATATCTAATAAAAGCCTAGATGAAAGGAAGACCTGGGAGCCTTATAATTCCACATCTCTGGAAGGCTGGATGCAGAGGACTCTAAGGAAAAGTCATCGTCACACCACTGGTTTGTCACCGTGGAGAAGCACTTTGAACAAAATTGATCCTTACTTGGACCGCATCTGGCAATGACCCATACGTATTTATGTGTTTACTGAATACTTTTTCGAGTTTGATTCTTAGAGGGGATCTCTATCCTTCTGGAAGCTGTGACTTGGATATTTTTCCAATAGTAGTTCCAAACCTATATATAGGTTTCCCTATACATTTCCCTATAATTAAATATGTTGAATTTGAAGGAAACTCCTTCTATTCCTTTAACCCCTGATGATATGTGATTATATTTTCCAGCATATAGAATGGAAATAAAACCATTTATAATTTTTTTAAAAAAGAGGACTTACTGGAGGCAAGATTAAGACCAACCTGCCTGGTGAGTTACTTTTAATAGAATTGTGTTTGGTGATTGTCATTATACCTATTTCAATGAGGAAGAAGTCCAACAGCCCCGATATTACCTGTGAACATGAACAGTTGCTCTGAGCCTGCCACTCCAGGTGGCCTTGGGTTATCAAGGGAGGCTGGGACAAACACTCTGATTTCTCTACTGTATTTAGTCTGATTCTGCCTAAGTACAGGAGACATTTCATTCAAAATGCATAAAGTCATCTGAGATGACTCACATTCCCTCCGAACTTATCTAAAATGTGAGCTATTTGGATCTTCACTTCCATCTGTAAGAGATGAGTCTCCAAAAGTTGTGTGACAATGGCTGGGGACAAATGCTACAGATAAAAGTCTTAGTAGTTTTCCTAGAAGTGTGAGAAGCCACTTGGCTCCATAGGTTTAACCAGTGCTCCCTGGGAGCTGCTCTCTGTGCTAACTTCTCCCCAGAAGGAGACTGCTCTGGGGGCCGTGTTTGGGACCCTCATCAGTAGTGACACGCAGCCAGTGATTAGCATCAGTAGAAATGTCTCTCTGGTTCAAGTACAGCAGCAAAACTCAAGGGACCTCTGTGACCTAAGGTGGAAAATGGTGGCTGCTCGTCATCAAGATAGATAAGAATTCTTCAAGGAGGCTTGGGTCACACCCTAGAAAGAGGATCAATCTGAAAATTAGTACCTGTTTTGTCAAAAAAATTTCACAGAACTTCAGAGTAAAATGCCTTAAGAATTTATTATGCACATTTTGAGAAGTTTAGTAATAAAAGGAACTTGAACCCAACTGACAGTGTTGAAACAACAGTTAGATTCCCAAATATTCAGGGATGAGATTCTCCCAGAAAGCTTCTAACGTCAATGGCATTTTTCTCTGGATCCAATGACAAATTTCCCTTTTCCTGTCTCTTTTCCTTAATGATGAAGCTATGGCTATGAAAAAGCTGATTTTACAAAACTCAAAGACAATTAAAAAGATAAGGTGGACATGCTGCCCACGTTGTGCAGAAGGAGACGACATCCCATCGTTAGCTTTCTGATGGCCGTGAAAGTGTACAGGGAGGAGGACGACCATTCGAACCCCTATTTCAGATTCACGAATACAGATAAAAGACCAGGAAACAGGAGAGAATAAAGACAAATATCTCACCCTTCATTTGAGGTTGTTGTCTGCTTTGAGAAGCTGGAGAAAGCTGCTGACCTTCTCTAGGAAAAAATCTATATGCATGTGAATGAACATACAAACTCACTTAAAATGCTATGAGTTTTCTGAAGTCCTAAAATCATGAACACCTTATTGGCCCCAGAGTCAAGAGTTGAACACCTTTTCTTGATGACCATTTATTGAAAGTTTTATGTGAAAATCAAGCAAATTAGTAGCCTGTGCCTGGTGAATTTGGGCTCAGATTCAAAGGAGGAAGATTAATTTATTTCCTTCCTTCCTTCCTTTCCCTTTCTTTTATTCCCTTTCTCTCTCACTCTTGCTTTCACTCTATCTTCCCAGCAGGGAGGAGCTACATGAAAAATGATCTCAGCGTCAAAGCAAGGGAATGACAAAAATGATTGGCAAATCATTTTCCATTCCACAGATCACTTTATAATGCACAATAGCTATCATGGCCTATTGATGATGTACCTTGTGCATCTCCCTTATCTGTAATCCTCACAGCAAGCGTGCATGGGGGTATTGCTATTACTAATTTACTAATGAGGAGATGACAGCTCAGAGAGAATGTATAATAGAAATGGCATAAAAGCCCATGTCTCCCAACCTTCAGTCAGATGTTCTTCCTGCAAGGTTGGGCAGCATCAGAAAGACTCATCCGGTTCTTAGGCGGGTTCTTACTACAGAACTTTGGTGGCCTGTCTCTTGATAGCTTATCACTTAGACTTAGAACAGTACGGCTAATGGATAGGAATGTAAATAAATGATCTAGAAATAAGCTGATAAATTCTCCTGTTGAGCATCTCAATAGGGTTTCATAAGGTACGATATAAGAAGAGGGTTTTCATGTTTCTCCATGCTTATGATGGTGTTTTATCCTTGAACTTGAAAACTAAACGTGCTACAACCCAAGCCATCTGGTTACAAGGATATTGCAGGACTTTTTTTACTGAGAGAGAACATAGAACAACAACTCTGGTGATCACACCACCAGGCCAAAATGTCTCATGCTCACTTGTCTTCTCATCATTTATTTTCAAAAACAATCTACTCTTCTCCTTTACCTCTTACCCTGAGTCTAAATTAAGTCATGTTGATAAACATCCAGACAATGAAAGCTGATACCGGTGTTTTGCTCAGTCTGAGTCATTTGCTGAAGGAAGTAAACTTTGTTAATGGGAAATAGAAGATAAAGTTGTACCTGGCCTTTGTCGTATGTCTAATACACACACACAAATACCTTAGATTGACATTTCTTTATGCTCTTGATACTTATTTAAGATAAGTAACATGACACTTCTAAGAAAATAGACTGGGGGAAGTAAACTTGTTACCAATTTGAAGAAGAAACATAATTTTACTGGCCTTCTCACATGATCTGTTCTTAGGTAATGCAAAGAGAATGCAGACAGAGCTCAAGCTACTCTAAGTTGAGTTTAAGCATATCTAATGATTGCCAATATTTTGCCCTCAGAATTAACCTTTTACAAAGTCAACGGCTGTGGTCACAGGTAGACTATAGCAATGTGGCATTTCCAAATCAAGTCCTTTCAGGGGTTCTGTGAAGGAAAGCATGGAAAACTACCAGCCGTATCTTCAAGGTGACTTCAGTGAAGGAAACAACAGAACAAACCAACAGCACATAAGGAAGCCAAAGCACGAGGAGAGGCTGGGTGACAGCCCCAGCCCGCACGGTACCTGTACAGATGAAGCTGGAGAGGCCCCCGTAGATGACTTCATCGTTGTCGGGCAAGATGAACGGACACCTCGTCTGAACCTCCAGACAGTATTGCTTGCAAGGAATTGTCTTTCTGCAGTTCAACTGTGCGACTTCAAAGTACTGGGAACACAGCCAGGCCTTGTAGACAATCTGAAAAAGACAAGAATCAAAAACAGGGAGGGATGACAACAGTTCTGACTCGAATAAAGGACACACTGTACTGTGAGAAGCATGCTGTGGTTTCAAGTGGATCGTAAGAAAACCCTCATTTCAAGAAAGCCTATTTACACATTGCTGGCTGCAAGTGATAAACACGTAGCAACACAAGTCTTTGCAACAGAGCAAAACATCATTTGATTGAGCCCTTAAGAGAATGCAAAAGGTAATGTAGTGTTTGATTTGATGTAGCTCGTTTGAAAAACAGTGGAGTTAAGCAGGACCTGACGTTTTCAAAATCCAGTGACAGAGTAAGTGCAAGAAATCTTTGACCGCGTCGATACACTGGTTATTTCCTGCATGTGCAAGGCGAGCGTGGACTGCGTGCTGTGCTTTCAACAGGCACTAGATGGCGCTGAGTCCTTTACAGCGATGGCCCAGCGGGCGGTGCAGACAGTGCCCACCAGTCAGAGCTTGAACTCCAGAGGCACAGAACAAGTAGCAGTGAGCATTTACATTCATGACTCACGTCAAATGCATTAAATATCTCATCAACTGAAAGCCCGGAAACACCCAGCCCAGACCAGACATAACAGCGGTGGTGTGGTTAGGAGCAGGAGGAGGGAAACCTCATGGGAACCACAACTTGGACCTTCGAGATGCTGTGTGATCCACAAGAATTATTCATTGAGTACTTATTTAATTGAATAAAATGTGAAAGGATTAGGATTTCATTTATCTCCTTTGTTTTTGATTGCTATTTAGGAAAATAAATATTAAAAAAAATACCTTTTTCTAATATAATGAAACAAGCTGAACCTAAATCCAAATGAAATAATGAAAAAAGTGCCTGTCAACTGTCCAGATCCCGGTGATTCAGGTGTTTCCCAGACCCTTGGCACTGATGGCTTCTGTTTAGCTGTTCCTAGAGTTAATGCTATTCAGGTGGGATTTTATCAACTGTGTCCTACCCAGAAAAGTGAATGGTTCACAGTTAAATGTACACTTGAGGTCATAAATACTTGACAATAATAGCAAGAATAATAGTGAGTATTTACCAACTTCATACTCTGTTCTAAGCACCGTATATGCATCTTTTCCACATGTAATTCTCAGCACACACTTAGAAGGTAACTATTAGTCATGTTTTACATAGGAATACTGATTAGTAAGAGAAGTAAGGGAAAAATCCAGAATTCAAACTCACGTTCTGTAGGATTCCAAATCCTGTACTCTTCATAATTATGCTACATTTAATCTGAAAACATTTTTGTGTGTGTGTGTGTGAGGAAGACCAGCCGTGAGCTAACATTGGATGCCAATCCTCCTCTTTTTTGCTGAGGAAGACTGGCTCTGGGTTAACATCCGTGCCCATCTTCCTCACTTTATATGGGATGCTGCCACAGCATGGCTCGACAAGCGGAGCGTGGGTGCGCGCCCAGGATCTGAACTGGCGGACCCCAGGCCACCGCAGCGGAGCGGGCGCACTTAACCGCTTGTGCCACGGGGCCGGCCCCCTGAAAACGTTTTTTAGAATAACTTCGGAAATCACAAGGGAGTTTGCAGATTAATCTGAAATCAGCACTGAATTGCAAGTGCTTGGTCAACATCCATTTGGTATAAGGAAGATTGTATTGAACTATTATTCATAACTTTTTATTAGTTTGATCAAAATGAAGCTTTATTCTTTGATCAAAGGTGACTCAGTGGGGGGAAAATGGGACACGTGAAATTCAGATACAATTTTAGATAGCCAAAAGTAAGTTTATTTGCTGTCATCAATGGTTCATAATCACCATACAACTTGATAGGAAAATATACAGATAATTAGTATTCTTATAGGTCTTTTGAACAGTCTTAAAATAAAAATGTACTTTGGAAATTGCACTACAAAAATACTACAATATACTACTATAAAAAATACTACAAAAGCTGAGGAAATGCCTAAGATTTCTTAAATTTCAACGTGCAAATGGCGTGAGGTGAGTGGATGAGGGCCCCTGTGGCGGAGGTGGCAGGTGGGCCAGTGCTGTTATACCATCAGAAAGAGGCAAAAAGCATCAGTTTCAGAAGAAGGAAAAGAGAAATGGTTTCCTAACCATACTTTGAGGAAGTCGAAGATGTTTTTCAAAACACCATTGGCATTTGTGTAATATAACATAATACATAACATGCTATATGACATTTGTAATATAAACTGAGTTGTGATCTAAGAATGGTCAGTGTCTATTTTGTAATATCTGGTTTTGATTTGCTTGTTTAGGTACTAGAGGAAGGTATGTTTATGTATACAGTTCTAACAACAATAAAATTCCCTTATAAGGAAACGTCGCATTTTGCATATTTCTGGAAGTCTAAAGACCAGAGTTATCTCTTTTCTCTTAGGGAATACTCCTGCGCAATTCCAGAGAATTACACATATTATTATGGGCCGAACTGTGCTCTCTGTTTCTCACCCTAGTTTGTTTTTGCACAAGAATTCAAATTAAAAATGGTTTCTGAAGAGCAAGTCACATCCTGTTCCTGTAAACTCTGTCTGAAGAAACAGTCTCTCTTCTCTCACAGGTGATGGGGTTTCACATACTGAAGTCTCCTGGGATATACACTCAACCTCCTTAATATTGCCCAACTGGAACAGATCCGTTTTTATTCTGGTTCCTTAAATGCTATTTCAGCTATATTTCCTTTGCAGATTTTTGACTTAAAAAACTAGTAAGTCATCATAGCAGTTTTTATAGATATCAGGTAATAGTTAGGAAGAAAAGTCGTCATGATTTGTAGAGCCACCAGCAGGATTCTGCATCTTCATGGGGCTCTAACAAACTCTCCGGCCAGGTTTCACTGCATTACCAGTTCTTATGATCTGAGTCCTAGACTTTTGAAATGCAATGGAAGATTCCTCACTTGAGTCTTAAACATTTTGTAAAATTTTAGTTCTTGGGACGCAATATGTCAGAAAGCAATCGGGGGAAACTTCGTGGGCAGAAAACGAATGACGAGGTCCTTACTCTTCTTGTCTTCGATACCTGCGGGAATTGCTGCTATGTGCTGATGCCAATAGCCTTTTTTAGTGTAAAATCAGAGGATAGAGACAAGAGAGAGAACAGACAGGTAAATACTGGCATGGATGAAGAAGAACTTTCTTGCCAGAAGAGACGCGCAGAAAACACACTGGGCTATCTTGTGCGGTACTAATTTCTCTATAACTGGAAAAATTCAGAGTTGAGATAACTCTTACCAATATGCTGTGAGGAAGATTCTCGTGTTAGCAAAGTGAGAGAAATAAATGGCTCTCAGATACCTTCCCACACCCTTTTAGGATCTTTTGAGGGAGGGGTGTCAAGAAAGATGTTTCGTGGTGGCAGAAAGCTAAAGAAACGAGATGATTAATTTTTAAAAGTACTGAGGGATTTTCAAACAAAAGCACATGATGAAAAATAAATATACTTGTCTTCTTTCCTAAGAACTCCATACTGTAAGGAAGGTCGGAAATCTTTTTTATAATGACTTAGCCATCTCCTACAGAGAGAAATATTAGAATAATCGCTTTTCTAGGTGTCACTAAATAGTATAAATGATTATATGATGCCAAACAATAATTTTGGGAAGGAACAAAAATATGTGTAAGGTCTCTGGTGACAAATTAATGGCTAAACTACGTCCACCTACACCCCTCATAGAGGGCTTGTACCTTTTCCTATGTAGAAGTAATTATGTTTCAGGGGTAATTGTGCTCATGAAGGACATCTCAAATGAGCCATTCTCCCACACTCTCACCTCCGCTCTGTGGCCCTTGGAAATGACTACTGACTGTACAAAAACTCCACTTGACGGCTGCCCATCACACAGTCAATAGGAAATATTCTTAAGTTACGGTCTAGAAAAGGAACAGACTAAATTATTCAAATGGCCTAAACAAGAATGTCATTTTTACTTAATATTTGGATAATGATTTTCTCTTTTACTACCAAAGCCTTTTCTCATTAGTTCTTTTTTCCCCCTGGAACCCTAGAGACATGTTTGAGAAATATTTGACAAGTAAAGAAACTGAGTTACAGAGAGATTACAGTAGTAAAGGAACAGAATTCAGGTCTTGTCAGCTAGGCCGGCACTTTTTTCACTGGGAACTCTGGTACCTGAAACTCTTCTGAGAGGACATAGAAATTGATGACAATATGGAGAGGTCTGGATCTCTGGAGGCATGCCATTCTAGAGCAGAAAAGTCCTAGAGGTCATCCAGCTGAGCCTCTCATTTTAAAGTGAGAATTGGGGCCTGGAAAGGTCACAGTTGAGGGCAATCCCACATTCCTGACTTCCAGGAAGTTGTTTTAATAATGCACCCCATTATTTGGAAGGCGTCAACTAAGCATAATTCATTCCTAACATATCCCCCCCCTTTTTTTTTTGCAAGTCCCTTCATTTCAGAACTGCACTTTCGAAACTTTCACCTGTAGTTCTGCACAGCTGTCAGAGCCACCCGCCATGCCCCTTGAGCTGACTTCTGGGTCTGCTCTGCCTTCACGTCCCCTTGGTTACGCAGACCTATTTGCACATGTGGGCGAGGACAGCAAAGGGTGAGGAGAGGAGGGACAATCCCAGGGAGCTGTGGTCTGTTGACCTCCTTTCCAGCCTCTTGATGAAGACTGATTTTTTTTTTAAAGATAATTTTCAGTGCTCAGAAAAGTTTTTGTTATAATGACGCAAGCATGGCTGAGTTGACAACCTCAGGAGACAGAAGGTCGTTTGTCTGCTTCCTGACTCTGGGAAGCGATGCTCAGCTTTGGCACTCTGGAAGCGAAAACTTTATGTAATACAAGGAGGAGCCTGAAACAGTCACCATTTTACTCATTGGAAGTTATACCTGGTGCCCTGAATAATTGTGGCTAACAGAATTGCCATTATAAATGATCGTCAGCATATTCCATCTCAGCTTCTCATTACCCTCTTGGTTCTGGACATTCCATATGACTGTGGCTAATCTTGTGGGCAGCCAT